GAGGGCTAGCCTCCCACTAGTTCGAATTAAGGGGCTACACACCCCTTAATTCGAACTAGTAAGTTCGAACTAGGCTTAGTCCTTGTACAATGAGGTTTACCTAGTTCGAACTAAGTGCTCCGCTAGTTCGAATTAAGTTCGAACTAGCGGAGCACTAGTGTAGTGCCTAGCAAAGTTAATTCGAACTAACTTCCGTTAGTTCGAATTAACTTTGTAGTGTAGACATACCCTAAAAGGGTGTCATAAGGAGGAGGGAGAAAAATTGTTCTCCTTGGCCTCTGATGACAGGACAAGAAGCAATGGGCTTAAACTGCAGCAAGGGAGGTTCAGGTTGGACATTAGGAAAAAGTTCCTAACTGTCAGGGTGGTTAAACACTGGAATAAATTGCCCAGGGAGGTTGTGGAATCCCCATCTCTGGAGATATTGAAGAGCAGGTTAGATAAATGTCTATCAGGGATGGTCTAGACAGTTCTGGGTCCTGCCATGAGGGCAGGGGGCTGGACTCGATGACCTCTCAAGGTCCCTTCCAGTTCTAGTGTTCTATGTGTAAGGTCAGAGGCTCTTTTCTCCAGCCACAGTCGAACAGCAGCTGGCACGAGCCAAGGAGCAGAAAGTCACACGCGAGCTCAGTCACATCAAACCAGGAAATACTGAGCTGTTTAAAAGCTGCTCCTGGCCTAAGAGTCGCCCCTCCCCTCCCCCCCGCCACACGAAGAAACCAGAGATGATCTTATGAAGTTTAAAGGAAATTTTGCTTGGTTGCCTCTGATCAGCAAGAAACCACTTCCCAGCGCGCGGGGCTGTGAACTCGGCACTTCTCTATTGCTCTGCCTTTGTGGGCCTTAGTTCTCTGCTGTGTATCTGGACGGGACCTGTCTGGCTTTTTGATTGTTTCTGGCTGTTGCATAACTAATTTGGCAAGATTTAAATCAGCCGAGGCTGTCGGGTAATCGATTGGTTCGCAATGTGCTGGGTAGGTCAGAAAATTATTTTATTGCACGTTAGTTTTTAACGGTGGGTTCAGGTCCAGCTGAGCAGGCCCCAGGTTTCAATGAATATGATTTGTACCAAAGCTCCAAGTCCCAGATGACTTGATCCCAACCTGCCACCAAGGAAAGTTCCTTACTCATTCAGTGGTGAGCACTGTGTGTGCTCCGGTTTGGTAACTGTTCATACATAGGGGCTAAGGATATTACTGTGCAAGGCTCTTTCGTTAGTAAAAGGCCCCACCAAACCGCAGAAGATTACGCCCTAAGCCCTAGGAATTGGGTGCGGGTGGCCCTGAGCCTTAGGGACTGGGAACGGGTTGGGGATGCCACCAGATTACGCCTTGAGCCCACAGAAGGGATCCAGGGAGGTGCCATGGAGCGTGCAGGTAACACGAGCAAAGGGGCCTGTGTCAAGGAATGCTGGAGTCTGCTACAAGGAAGGAGGAAACGAGATACAAGCCAGAGGGACAAAGGCCGGGCCTCTGAAAACCCGCCCACTCCGGTGGGGAAGTGAAAGTCAGCGACAGAAAAAACAAACGTTAAACTGGGACCGCACATGAAGAAAGGAGAAGTTGCTAGCGACAGTCGCACAGCTGAGGCGTGGGAAACGAGAGGTGATGAGCTCCTCGCAGGTGACGGTAACGACACTCCTCCCACTGCGGTAGCAGCTTAGGAAGATGTTAAATAGCAGCCGCGTTTTTCAGTCCGCAGGCCTGAGAGTTTGGAACGAGCTGGCTCAGGACATCTCTGGTACATCCACGTTTTGCGTCAGTGAGTCTCAGGATCCTGGGCAGGCTCTAGAACGGGGCCAGGTACCTCTGGTCCGGGGGTGGGATGTGGACCCCAGCTTGCCCTAATCCGGCCCCTGAAGCTCAGGACTTTCCCACAGCATTGAGGAGCCCATGCTGTTGCTTCTGCTTCTGCCCTCAAGCCCAAGCCCCCGTCTGTCCCAAGTGGCACCAGTCACTCTGCTGCCAGCCCCCATGATGCCCAGCCCCACATCCCCCTGAAGCACAGGACCCACCAAAGCATGGGGCCCAGGACAACCACCCCCACCCCGCATGGACGCGGCAGCTCTGGTTGGGGTTGATTCTCCGACACTGTCAACTTTAAAATCAAGACCGGAAGAAGTTTTTCTAACAGATCTGCTTTGGAAACTCTTGCAGGAGGGTCTCTGGCCTGTGAGCATCAGGGGGATGATCACAGTGGTCCCTTCTGGCTTTGGAACCCTGGCACTTCCGGGTAAAAATGGCCGAAAACGGTCAGTGCCATGAGCACTTTTGCCAGAGGGGGCCCTTTGGCTGGCTGGGGGCCCCATTCCTCTACTCTAGAGAGGTGCGTTTGGGGGCCATAGAACAGGCATGTCATGAGCAACACACAAAGCCCAATGAACCATCCCCACATGGAAATGCAGATTAACGGTTTAGAAAGTTTCGTCTTGGTATTCCTGGAGGGGCTGAAACTCTGCTCGAAAACACTGCCTGCTGGACAGTGCCCTTTAATTCCTCCTTAGAGCCAAAGGGGATTGCGGAGAGACAGAAGTTGCTGAAATGGTGAATTCTGCACCCAGTTTGGAAACCGGCCGGGAGTAGCCTTGCCAGTAGCTGAAAGCCGGACACTGGGCAAATGCCTGATTCGTAGATTTCCAGGCCAGACGGCACCACTGTGGTCATCCAGCCTCACCTCTGAGCAGGAACGTCCCCAAAATAATTCCTAGAGCAGATCAGTTTATAAGAGCATCCAGCCTCGACTTTTCCATTGTCAGCGATGGGAATCCACTCGGGGAAATTGTCCGAGGGTTCGTTACTCTCACCGTGAAAGCCCGTGCCTTATTTCGGGAGTGAAATTCTCCAGCTTCAGTTCAGCTGGATGGTGTTAAGCTCTTTTCTGCGAGGCTGGAGAACCCATTATCCAACACTGATTACCCACGTGGTACTTAGAGACGGGTCAAGTCTCCTTCTCACCTTCTCTTTGTTACACGAAGCAGAGGGAGCTCTTTGTGTGTATCACTACGAGGCAGGTTTTAACCCTTTACTCATTTTCAAGGCTCTCATCTGGATTGTCTCCAAGGGTATCTACACCCGTCTTGAGTAGTGGACCTCAGAACTGGACCCAGGATCTAGCAGCACCAAACACAGAGGTAAAATTACCTCTCTTTCTACTCCGACTTGAGACTCCCCTGGTTTTGCAGCCCATGTTCCCATTAGCCACAGCTCTGCATTGAGAGATCATGTGCAGCTGTCTAGTCACCAAGCCCTCCAAAGCCTTTTCAGAGTCAGTGCCCCCACCAGAGGCAGCTCTTCTGAAACTCTTGGATGCAAAATATCCAGACCGGCTATTGCAAAAGTTTCTGACTTTAGTAGCTGCTGTACCATCCCCAGAGACAGTGCTGGAATAGGAGGAGTGCCGTCACGTTACTGAATTTTAGGGAAGCAGCCAGGTCACTGCTATACCCATGGGGGGGTGTTGGCCCCAAAAGTGGCACAAAGGGAGCCATGTGAGGGGTCAAATAGAAGCTTACTTTCTTCTGATTCCATATATGCTATCCATGTCATTATATAATGTCTGTGTGTGAAGTTATAAGCATGTACTTTGTGTGGATACAAAATCTTTCTCTGGAAGTGGTTGAGCGATGGGCTCCCCCTATGGACATGCTAATTAGCAATGTTCCAGGGACAATAGGTCCTTTAAATACCCAAGACCCACCTGGGAAGGAATCTAGGTGCCTGGTCAGAGACCATGTGACTCTAGCCAGCTTGGAAGAGAGACCAGGAAGGAGGGATAAATACGCCATGTGGTCAACTCCATCTTGGTCTGCAGATCTGCTCCTGACCCCAGATGTGGCCTCTCTGGGAATCATGAGCCAGGAAGAACGGTGGACCCATCCTGGCACAGGATGTGCAACAAGGACTTTTAAGCCAGCAGCTGTAACATCTCTGCTGCAAGCCTGAATCGAGAACTGGGAGATTTGGTGCATGTAACGTACTATTCCTTTAACAACCTTACTCTCATGCTTTTCTTTCTTGAAGTAATAAACCTTTAGATTGTAGATTCTAAAGAATTGGCTCAGCGTGGTTTGCAGGTAAGATCCAGAGAGTAAATTGACCAGGGATCTGTGGCTGGTTTCTTGGGACTGGACAGAACTTGGTCGGGGTAGGGGAGATTGGATTCTAAGACCTCTCACCTGTGTATGAGGCCCGGAGCCATCTGGGGCACGGATATTGCTGGGGTGTCGGAGGGGTTTTGCTCGTGAGGCTTCAGGCAGGCAGCTGAAGCGCTCTGTGGGACTGGTTTGTGGCGTGTTTGGGAAGTTCACCAGTCTGGGGGCTGTAAGGAGGCCCAAATTTGAGCAATTCATCCTGAGCGGGCGCCCTCAGCTGTGCCCAGCCCCAGCCGGTCCGTCACAGTGCCGTCACCATCAGCCCTCTCTCCCCCCAAATACGGAACAGCTCCAGGCTGTGTCCCCACAGGGCTCCCTTTGCAATCTCCAGTCCAGCAGCTGCTTCTCCTTCAAGCTCTGCACGTGATTCCTGGAGCTGGGGGCTCAGACAGACCCCCGCTAGCATGCCAGTTCTCACCCTGCAGCTCAGTGTCCCAAGACAGACAGGCGCGAGGAAACGGGATTTTCTGAGCTCCTAGAAAATTAAGCCGCAGAGCCCTCGGTGGCAGGCAGAGCTCCGGGCCCCCCTGCAGCGGGTCCCCAGGGCGAGCGCTGCCCCTCGGTGGCAGGCAGAGCTCCGGGCCCCCCTGCAGCGGGTCCCCAGGGCGAGCGCTGCCCCTCGGTGGCAGGCAGAGCTCCGGGCCCCCCTGCAGCGGGTCCCCAGGGCGAGCGCTGCCCCTCGGTGGCAGGCAGAGCTCCGGGCCCCCCTGCAGCGGGTCCCCAGGGCGAGCGCTGCCCCTCGGTGGCAGGCAGAGCTCCGGGCCCCCCTGCAGCGGGTCCCCAGGGCGAGCGCTGCCCCTCGGTGGCAGGCAGAGCTCCGGGCCCCCCTGCAGCGGGTCCCCAGGGCGAGCGCTGCCCCTCGGTGGCAGGCAGAGCTCCGGGCCCCCCTGCAGCGGGTCCCCAGGGCGAGCGCTGCCCCTCGGTGGCAGGCAGAGCTCCGGGCCCCCCTGCAGCGGGTCCCCAGGGCGAGCGCTGCCCCTCGGTGGCAGGCAGAGCTCCGGGCCCCCCTGCAGCGGGTCCCCAGGGCGAGCGCTGCCCCTCGGTGGCAGGCAGAGCTCCGGGCCCCCCTGCAGCGGGTCCCCAGGGCGAGCGCTGCCCCTCGGTGGCAGGCAGAGCTCCGGGCCCCCCTGCAGCGGGTCCCCAGGGCGAGCGCTGCCCCTCGGTGGCAGGCAGAGCTCCGGGCCCCCCTGCAGCGGGTCCCCAGGGCGAGCGCTGCCCCTCGGTGGCAGGCAGAGCTCCGGGCCCCCCTGCAGCGGGTCCCCAGGGCGAGCGCTGCCCCTCGGTGGCAGGCAGAGCTCCGGGCCCCCCTGCAGCGGGTCCCCAGGGCGAGCGCTGCCCCTCGGTGGCAGGCAGAGCTCCGGGCCCCCCTGCAGCGGGTCCCCAGGGCGAGCGCTGCCCCTCGGTGGCAGGCAGAGCTCCGGGCCCCCCTGCAGCGGGTCCCCAGGGCGAGCGCTGCCCCTCGGTGGCAGGCAGAGCTCCGGGCCCCCCTGCAGCGGGTCCCCAGGGCGAGCGCTGCCCCTCGGTGGCAGGCAGAGCTCCGGGCCCCCCTGCAGCGGGTCCCCAGGGCGAGCGCTGCCCCTCGGTGGCAGGCAGAGCTCCGGGCCCCCCTGCAGCGGGTCCCCAGGGCGAGCGCTGCCCCTCGGTGGCAGGCAGAGCTCCGGGCCCCCCTGCAGCGGGTCCCCAGGGCGAGCGCTGCCCCTCGGTGGCAGGCAGAGCTCCGGGCCCCCCTGCAGCGGGTCCCCAGGGCGAGCGCTGCCCCTCGGTGGCAGGCAGAGCTCCGGGCCCCCCTGCAGCGGGTCCCCAGGGCGAGCGCTGCCCCTCGGTGGCAGGCAGAGCTCCGGGCCCCCCTGCAGCGGGTCCCCAGGGCGAGCGCTGCCCCTCGGTGGCAGGCAGAGCTCCGGGCCCCCCTGCAGCGGGTCCCCAGGGCGAGCGCTGCCCCTCGGTGGCAGGCAGAGCTCCGGGCCCCCCTGCAGCGGGTCCCCAGGGCGAGCGCTGCCCCTCGGTGGCAGGCAGAGCTCCGGGCCCCCCTGCAGCGGGTCCCCAGGGCGAGCGCTGCCCCTCGGTGGCAGGCAGAGCTCCGGGCCCCCCTGCAGCGGGTCCCCAGGGCGAGCGCTGCCCCTCGGTGGCAGGCAGAGCTCCGGGCCCCCCTGCAGCGGGTCCCCAGGGCGAGCGCTGCCCCTCGGTGGCAGGCAGAGCTCCGGGCCCCCCTGCAGCGGGTCCCCAGGGCGAGCGCTGCCCCTCGGTGGCAGGCAGAGCTCCGGGCCCCCCTGCAGCGGGTCCCCAGGGCGAGCGCTGCCCCTCGGTGGCAGGCAGAGCTCCGGGCCCCCCTGCAGCGGGTCCCCAGGGCGAGCGCTGCCCCTCGGTGGCAGGCAGAGCTCCGGGCCCCCCTGCAGCGGGTCCCCAGGGCGAGCGCTGCCCCTCGGTGGCAGGCAGAGCTCCGGGCCCCCCTGCAGCGGGTCCCCAGGGCGAGCGCTGCCCCTCGGTGGCAGGCAGAGCTCCGGGCCCCCCTGCAGCGGGTCCCCAGGGCGAGCGCTGCCCCTCGGTGGCAGGCAGAGCTCCGGGCCCCCCTGCAGCGGGTCCCCAGGGCGAGCGCTGCCCCTCGGTGGCAGGCAGAGCTCCGGGCCCCCCTGCAGCGGGTCCCCAGGGCGAGCGCTGCCCCTCGGTGGCAGGCAGAGCTCCGGGCCCCCCTGCAGCGGGTCCCCAGGGCGAGCGCTGCCCCTCGGTGGCAGGCAGAGCTCCGGGCCCCCCTGCAGCGGGTCCCCAGGGCGAGCGCTGCCCCTCGGTGGCAGGCAGAGCTCCGGGCCCCCCTGCAGCGGGTCCCCAGGGCGAGCGCTGCCCCTCGGTGGCAGGCAGAGCTCCGGGCCCCCCTGCAGCGGGTCCCCAGGGCGAGCGCTGCCCCTCGGTGGCAGGCAGAGCTCCGGGCCCCCCTGCAGCGGGTCCCCAGGGCGAGCGCTGCCCCTCGGTGGCAGGCAGAGCTCCGGGCCCCCCTGCAGCGGGTCCCCAGGGCGAGCGCTGCCCCTCGGTGGCAGGCAGAGCTCCGGGCCCCCCTGCAGCGGGTCCCCAGGGCGAGCGCTGCCCCTCGGTGGCAGGCAGAGCTCCGGGCCCCCCTGCAGCGGGTCCCCAGGGCGAGCGCTGCCCCTCGGTGGCAGGCAGAGCTCCGGGCCCCCCTGCAGCGGGTCCCCAGGGCGAGCGCTGCCCCTCGGTGGCAGGCAGAGCTCCGGGCCCCCCTGCAGCGGGTCCCCAGGGCGAGCGCTGCCCCTCGGTGGCAGGCAGAGCTCCGGGCCCCCCTGCAGCGGGTCCCCAGGGCGAGCGCTGCCCCTCGGTGGCAGGCAGAGCTCCGGGCCCCCCTGCAGCGGGTCCCCAGGGCGAGCGCTGCCCCTCGGTGGCAGGCAGAGCTCCGGGCCCCCCTGCAGCGGGTCCCCAGGGCGAGCGCTGCCCCTCGGTGGCAGGCAGAGCTCCGGGCCCCCCTGCAGCGGGTCCCCAGGGCGAGCGCTGCCCCTCGGTGGCAGGCAGAGCTCCGGGCCCCCCTGCAGCGGGTCCCCAGGGCGAGCGCTGCCCCTCGGTGGCAGGCAGAGCTCCGGGCCCCCCTGCAGCGGGTCCCCAGGGCGAGCGCTGCCCCTCGGTGGCAGGCAGAGCTCCGGGCCCCCCTGCAGCGGGTCCCCAGGGCGAGCGCTGCCCCTCGGTGGCAGGCAGAGCTCCGGGCCCCCCTGCAGCGGGTCCCCAGGGCGAGCGCTGCCCCTCGGTGGCAGGCAGAGCTCCGGGCCCCCCTGCAGCGGGTCCCCAGGGCGAGCGCTGCCCCTCGGTGGCAGGCAGAGCTCCGGGCCCCCCTGCAGCGGGTCCCCAGGGCGAGCGCTGCCCCTCGGTGGCAGGCAGAGCTCCGGGCCCCCCTGCAGCGGGTCCCCAGGGCGAGCGCTGCCCCTCGGTGGCAGGCAGAGCTCCGGGCCCCCCTGCAGCGGGTCCCCAGGGCGAGCGCTGCCCCTCGGTGGCAGGCAGAGCTCCGGGCCCCCCTGCAGCGGGTCCCCAGGGCGAGCGCTGCCCCTCGGTGGCAGGCAGAGCTCCGGGCCCCCCTGCAGCGGGTCCCCAGGGCGAGCGCTGCCCCTCGGTGGCAGGCAGAGCTCCGGGCCCCCCTGCAGCGGGTCCCCAGGGCGAGCGCTGCCCCTCGGTGGCAGGCAGAGCTCCGGGCCCCCCTGCAGCGGGTCCCCAGGGCGAGCGCTGCCCCTCGGTGGCAGGCAGAGCTCCGGGCCCCCCTGCAGCGGGTCCCCAGGGCGAGCGCTGCCCCTCGGTGGCAGGCAGAGCTCCGGGCCCCCCTGCAGCGGGTCCCCAGGGCGAGCGCTGCCCCTCGGTGGCAGGCAGAGCTCCGGGCCCCCCTGCAGCGGGTCCCCAGGGCGAGCGCTGCCCCTCGGTGGCAGGCAGAGCTCCGGGCCCCCCTGCAGCGGGTCCCCAGGGCGAGCGCTGCCCCTCGGTGGCAGGCAGAGCTCCGGGCCCCCCTGCAGCGGGTCCCCAGGGCGAGCGCTGCCCCTCGGTGGCAGGCAGAGCTCCGGGCCCCCCTGCAGCGGGTCCCCAGGGCGAGCGCTGCCCCTCGGTGGCAGGCAGAGCTCCGGGCCCCCCTGCAGCGGGTCCCCAGGGCGAGCGCTGCCCCTCGGTGGCAGGCAGAGCTCCGGGCCCCCCTGCAGCGGGTCCCCAGGGCGAGCGCTGCCCCTCGGTGGCAGGCAGAGCTCCGGGCCCCCCTGCAGCGGGTCCCCAGGGCGAGCGCTGCC